GGCATTCAACTGACCGTAACTTTGGTGTCTCCCAATGGATTTGAATGAAATTTGCACCACACACTCTTGCCCCTATGCTGGCCCTCTGGACATGATTTAACCGGGGCATGACTCCACGCGGTTCACATACTAGTCGAAGGACCGGGATCCTATACCAGCCTGTCGCCAGTTGCAATCAGGAACACGGGTTTCAATGCACCTTCAGCAGGTGGTACCCTGTCATCAGGATACTCCAGTACATGTACATGACTGTACATGACTGAATACCATGTACATATTGTACAGGAACTTGTCAAATAATACTAATCACCAGACAGTTAGCTGTTTAGACCTTGTTAGCCTAATGTTAGGTCTCCTCAGCAGAGCTCAGACGTAGTGGTGGGGGGGGGGGGGGAGAGGGGAGAGAGAGAGAGAGAGGGAGAGAGAGAGAGAGAGAGGCAAAGAATCAATGTCAGAGAGATCCAACTGCGATAAACACACCGAGCTTTTCACGAGGGCATAATTATAACATTGACGCTAACGAGAAGGAGTGCTCAACCAAGCCAGGACGAGGGAACGTAGTAGTTCTGACGTAAGAATCTCATTTTCTTTGACTCATCTGGAAGAGAGCTGTGAGAATGTGTAGTTAACCCCTAAGATGATAAGATCATGCACGTATATGATTCTACAGGGCATATCAGAAAGTTGTAATTGAGGTATTTTAGTATTTACCACTGTCTCTCGTTCATAATATTATTCATATGGCGCATGACCGGGGCCTTGCCAATTGGGCTCTGGGTGATATGGGCAATACATAACCCTGTCCAGCCCAATCCACATGAAAGGCGAAGCTTTTAGAATCCGTCCTCAATACACACAAGGTGTATACCACACGGAATATAATAGAATGCAATCGACTCCACTTTTAGCGAACTCGCTGCACGTAGCGAGTTTCGTGATTATAGCAAATCAGAGTCCATGTCCCTGTTTAAACGGTTAAACCCATACAAAAAATGATCTTTTATAGTATATCGAATAATTGTCGTTGATAAGGAACCACCATTATATCTCTTCATCTTGTGGGGCGGCATGCTAACTACATTGCCCGTCCGGCAGTGCAATGTCTCACATATTAAACCAATCATACTGTCATGAACTACATGTCGTGTTGCTTGTATGGTGTGAGTGCATTTCGGTTATAAAGAACCTGGCCTATAGAGAAGTAATTCTCCTGTACAATGGTGTTGGTTATATCAGGATTTGACTTTGCTATGGTCAAAACAGTACTATCTATACAGTATGGATGCTGTTCACGTTATGAGGTCACCGCTATACACAGGATACTGCATTAATGGAAGAAGACATTACAAACACTGCTACCTTGCACGTTATTTTCAACAGTATCAACACCCCCCCCCCAACACACACACACACACACACACACACACACACACACACACACACACATTTGACTTTTCGACGTCCATCGCTGGAGGTGATGGTAGCGATGCTACGGCAGAAGCCATAGCAACTTGTGCGGGGATTGCATGATTCAACAGCTTGCAAGGGTGAAGAATTGACCGCAACTATTCAGCCTCAGTGGTCCACACAACACAGCTATGAAGTGGGTTTTTGTAGCCAAACACACACACACACAAACACATGCACGCACATTCACGCGGGCGTGCGTGCACGCGCACGCACGCACGCCCGCATGCACAAGCGCGCACGCACGCATATACACATACACAAGCACCATGATTGTACCATGTGCACCAACCACGTGAGTCGACAGAATCAGCACAAGGAAAACGTGATGTCGATGTGAACAATTCAAACTAACTGTTGCATAGATATCCTAATCATATGATTAATCTGCTAGAAAACAATCCAATAAGTAAAATTAAAAAAATTCAGAACTATTACAGCCTACATATAATGTATAATGAACTCAGATGGAGAGCCAAGGATTAAAATCAAGAAGAAAGAACCAAAGCAAAAATATATCCACCACTGGATACAAATGGTATTCTAGCAATTGCAAACGTTCTTTTCTGAGATAACCGGGTTAATAAACACCGGCAACCAGAAGCTACCTAAGAATAACTGGAGTGGAATAACTGTTGCGGCATCTACCTAATCCATTTAAAAAATCGAACTACTGTGGTATATAATACGAGAGATGTGTTCAGTTCATGTGAGAGTGCTGTAAGATAGAACACGTCACCAAGCAAGGCGGCGGATGAGTGGAGAAAAACAAAATTCTCAATGAGAAGTGTAGAAAATAATAATAATAAGACAACTGAAAATTGTTGAGGATGTACAACTAAGGGGTTGTGTTTATGTGTGTGTGTATGTGTGTGTGCGTGTGTGTGTGTGTGTGTTTGTGTGTGTGCGTGTGCGTGTGTTGGGGAGGAGGGGGGGGGAGAGAGTAGAGGAGTAGGATGGGATACAAGTTCAGTTTGTGTCACGCTGTGGTCATTTACGTTATGATGCATAAAAAAGTGTGAGCAAGTGACTGATGACAGATGTCTAACAAGAAACCTTCAAAACACGAAAATCTTGTGATCACCCCAATCGGAAACAGCTACTAAACCCTCACTTGTCACGCAGACACCCTTCGGCTCGTCCAGCTCTCCTTTTCCAAACTCAGCCAGTGGTGTGTAAGTTTCTGTGGCATATACCTGCAGAGAACATGGACAACACTGGTCAGTGTACATGAATTCCACGTGTTATAGATGGTTGATGCATGGTGGTGTATGGATGATGTATGAATGATGGATGGATGCTGTATGGAGGATGCATGAATGATGTATGGAGGATGCATGAATGATGTACGGGTGATACATGAATGATGTATGGCGGGTGCATGAATGCTGCGCAATTCATTAATGGATGATGGTATCATGGAAGGTATGGGTTAGCATGGTTAAGCCACACTGGAATATAAGCCGCACTGGGGTATGCTTCTCTATGGATGTATTACTGCTGTCTAAAGTGCGGCTTATACATGTCGCGAAATGACTTGGATCAATTTTTTTTATTCCTCGCGATATATCACCAGGCACAGAGAACAAGAGTTGAACCACCATTCGGATTGGCAAGAAGAAGAAGAATCCAAAAAACCATTTGTCCAAACCGTTCCTCGTCCAATATCACTGAAAAGCCCGCGAAGAACCAAACTCACGTGGCAATATTTGCCACGTTCAAGAAATCGGATCAAATACGTGTTACAAGTGAAACCGCAGTGATTCACCGGCACAAATACATGGTGGGCACAGTACAGAAAAATATCCGTGACTCAGACTGATGTCATGACAATACTCCAGAAAATAAGGTATATGCAATAGGTGTGTAAACCACTTTGCTACTTCTGAAATATGTTTTCATTCATTGAAAGATGAATATGCATCAAACCAGCAACATGGAGACAATTTCGGTCAGGGATTCAGTAACATTACCTCAAACAACGTCCTTTTACCCCGGCGTAAACTGAATCCACCACAACATGGCACGTATATTTCAAGTACAGTAAAACCTGTCAAGGCGGCCACTCGGATAAGGTGACCACCTGTCCTAGAAGACCACTGCAACCAGGACCAAATGATGCTATTTCCAGTCAATTCACCCCGGATAAGGCGACCACCTGGTAACAGAGACCACATTTTGAAGGTCCCTTGAGTGGTCATGTTAGACTGGTTTCACTGTATAAATGGGCTTCGAAGGCATACTCCTATACAAGTACTTAAATTCTACTTAAACTAATTAGGCATTTCTCTAAATGTCAACATGCAAGCCAAGCATACAGTAAGAACACAGCTACAGTACGTCCCGGACTTGGTTGTAGCATTGATGTGTGTCCACTGTATTCCTTGTTCTGTTCTCCAGACATTCAGCACTCCACCCAGTCTGAGTATGCATGGACACTAGGTAAACCCTAAAGCATATGTGCCAGAGGTACCATTTTGGAAATCACGCTAGTACTAGTATTCATTGCAAGCTTACATGTGAGACACACTTTTATACAAGAAAATAGTGTAAGAGTAGAATGTACCCTTGTTTTTTGAACTGTAAGAGCTAATGTACTCTTGCTTTACTTGTACTCTGTGCATGCAGTGTACATCACTTTCTGTGTTCATATCAGTGTTGTCTGATGATTGTACTGACCATGAATCACAGACTAGCAACAAACTGACCATGCTCCACTGTTGTATATGTACTGGGTACTACTCTCTGCCTGAAGGTTTTTAGAAAGAAGAACACGACAACAAGCTCTCCCTTACCATAACACGTCCATTGATACAATCTGCTACTAGTACATTGCCGTAGGCGTCTGTAGTGACATCTTCCGGTGCCTGCAGCTGCCCAAAAGCGCTGCCCTTTGACCCAAACGAAGTGAAAAACCTGAAAGCGCTGCCCTGAGAACCGAACGAAGTGATATACTCTCCATCGACGGTCATCACCTTTTGCAGGAATAAAAAATTGTACATTCACACACACCACTGTGGTGACAGAAAGAGTATAGATATAACAGGAGTGTAAGAATAATACTCCAACACACAGTGCATAGCTACTATCATTATGACTGTAGTGATGATAAGGTTACTGGTGTGCAACTGTAAAAACTCAAAAACCTGAGGTAAAACATGGACCTGGCACCAACATTTGATTACTATTTATGTATTTATTGTAGCACAGACACTGTTTGGTTTGTGACATGATGTATAGACATGATGTTTAAGAGTCTAACTTCACATCAGCCTATACACTCTTACACTGAAAAGGACAAGTAACAGGCGAACATGGCCAACAAGCACTTGCATAACGTACACATTCATTTCTGATTGGATGAATATTTTCCTGCCCGACCCTGTCCAGTGTATATTCCGATAAATGGGTTGTCAATACCAGTAAAGTCTCATGCACACTAGACATGCAAAAAAGAAACAATATAATTCCAGATCTACATGTAGATTTTGCAATTTCAGTGGATATAATTGAAGAAGGTGGCTACTCCAAACTTTGGATCTCGGCTCTTGCCAGAGAGCAACACATTTTGCAGTGCTCTCAGAGTACTGATTACAGTAACGTTCTGAAGCTCAGCTGATACAGGGCGCATTCCCCGGAACACTGCACATTGCAGAGGGTGGCACTTTTTTCCAGATTTTCTGAGTCAAACATTCTACTTGCTGCTCATGGGCTCTAGACGGCAGTCATGAGTCAGTCAAGTGTCAAGTCAATCAGAATGAAGTGTAAGCACCAAAGTTTGGAACAACCACCTATAAATACCTGTCACAACGATATAAAGCTGAACTAGCTACTGGTTCCATTGCTGTAGCTGCTGCTGCTGCTGCTGTAGTAGTTTTAGTAGTAGTAGTTTTTGTTGTAACTTGTTGTTGTTAATGTTGGTGTTGTTGTTGTTGTTGTTGTTGTTGTTGTTGTTGTTGTTGTTGTTGTTGTTGTTGTTGTTGTCGCTGTCGTCTCTATCGTCATCATCGTTGTTGCCGTCGTTGGCATTGCGGTTGTTGTCGTATTTGGCATCATTGTTGACGTTGTTGCCAGCTGAACATGATAACATACCTGGATGCGATGGTTGTTCCGGTCAGCAATAAACAACCTGTTGTGGTACACTGTGATGCCGGTTGGAAATTGAAATTGGCCTTGACCACTACCTTTTGTTCCAAATGCATATCCTGTCTCACCACTGCATGGCACAACCTGTACAGTACCAGTGTACATAGAAGAATATACACCTGTGAGTTGTTGTCTGATGATCGATTAAAACCGTGAAACTCAGAGTTACAGCAGAAACGCTTTTGATTCCTCTCAAGTGTGTGTGTGTGTGTGAACCTGTGAGATATGTAACTTACAAATAGATTTGTGGTTGGGCTGTGACAGAGCTTTAAGAAGGTCTCTTTAACACATACATGTAGCCATGTACCGGTATGCCAATGGAACCCACATGCATATTCATACATACACACGCTCACACACACACACACACACACACACACACTCACACACAAACACACACACACATACACACACACACAAATGATTGCACATACACGCACACACTACACACACACACACACACACACACACTACACACACACACACACACACACACCACACACACACACACACACACACACACACACACACACACACACACACACTACACACACACACACACACTTGTACTTGTTGCTCACTGCCAAAACTGGCCACGTGGGTCTCCCCGGGAGAGGGGAGAGAGACTCCAAAGGAATCTTGGAAAGATGACTCAACTGGCTATTGAACCGCCCAACGGCCGACACCCCCTGATATCCCCAAAACTCTGGGTGGACTTGAAAATGCACACACACACACACACACACACACATACACACACACACACCTGGTCCTGGTAAACACTGCCATTACGGTCATGTGTCCCCTCGCGGGGCCGACAACATGAAAATGACGAGCGACGGCAGAAAGTCGGCAGTCTGCCGAGAGATCAGGGACCATGTTCAATCGGCACGACGAGAGAGCCATCTTTGGCAGCTATGGATTTGGAATCCATGAGTAGAGCGGCAGCACCGGCCACAGGCCCCGCAGTGGGCCTTGCAGCATGAGAGGGCGAGCCGCACACGCGGCGGCGGAGGAGTCGCCTGAGCAGCAATGGTAGACACCGCCGCCCGGCACGGAGCCCGAGATGATGTCGCGGGGAGCATCTGGGAGTTGGGGCACTTGTGGACCGCCAAACCTCCGGCACTGCGGAACCAGTGCTCGCAGGAAGAAAATTTTCGGCTACCTCTCTGTTCTGATACAGGTTTGCGGCGCTCATCGAGGCATTTATGACGAGGCAAACCACTCCTGGAGAAGAGACGGCCACACTCGGCACAAGGTATCCGCAGAGGCTCACAAACGGGTTCAGGCGGGGGCAGAACATTGCAAGCGGCCCGCCATTCTCGTCTATCCTGGGCCAAGTCATACCATTCGTCGATGCCCAACGCCGCCAGATCCTTCCGCGCAGCATCGTGCCACCTTTTCCTCGGGCCGCACATTGGACGGACAGGATGTAGGGTGCCAAACAGTAGTTGACGCGGGGCACGCTCCTCATGCATTCGCACAACATGCCCAAGCCACTCCATGCGGCGCGATGTCAGCAGGCTGGGGATGTCACGGGGCTGAAGCGGATTCCACCGTTCCAGAACATCAACCCTGGTCAGTCGTTCGTCCCAGACATTCCGCTGGCTGATACCCATCACGGAACGAATGCAGCGCAGATGGAAAGAGCACAGTGCATCAAGGTCGGGCTTCAACGGCAACCAACACTCAGCACAGTACAGAAGCAGAGACAACACGCATGCCCCGTACACAAGCCGCTTTGTAGGAAGTGCGAGGTTGCTGTCAGTGAAAACCGGCTGGCGCAGGGCTCCAAATGCACGTGATGCACCGGCAATGCGTGAGCTGATATCTGGGGTGGATCGGCCATTCGTGTGGAGGAGAGAGCCAAGATAACGGAAACTATCTAAACACTCGACCACCTCACCCGCCACGTCCAGGGGCAGCCAGTCTGCTTCGGCGAGTCCATATCCAGCAGCGATCACCTTTGCCTTGTCCAGGTTGACTGTCAAGCCGAAATAATACGCTACATGTATGAATTGGTCAAGGGCCCGCTGTGCACCATCATGAGTGGTAGCCAGCAGAGCAGAGTCTTCTGCAAATTGACACTCGCGATGGACCTTGCTCTTGTCTGTTGACTTCCGACTGAATAGGAGACTGCCCCCAGGGTTTGTTGCCACAGGAATTCCAACGCCAGGAATATCGGCAACAGCACGATGCCACTGCTGGAAACGGCCGACACTAACAGATTGAAGAGTACCGGTGCCATGCAGCAACCCTGCCGGAGACCGTTCTGCACCTCAATTGGTGGCGCATCAACTCCCGGGATCTTCAACGTTGATGTCATATTGGTGTGGAAAGAGCGTATGATATTGATGAGGCGCTCAGGGACACCTGCCTTCTTAAGGATAATCCATAGGCATTGGCGGCTGACAGAGTCATACGCCTTACGGAGGTCTACGAAGACTAGAAAACCCTTGCACCGATGTTCGTAGAGCTTCTCTGCGACCTGCCGAACGGCGAAAACCATATCCGTGCATGACCGACCTTTCCTAAAACCACATTGGGAGTCGGGAAGGATGGTCTCGGCCCAAGATTGCAAGCGGCGCTGAATCATGGCAGCAACGACCTTGCCAACCACCTCCAACAAACCAATGCCCCGCCAATTATCGCATTTGGCAAGGTTGCCCTTCTTCGGGATGGGGACCAGATTGCTACACACCCACTCTTGAGGGACTGCTTCGGCCTCCCACACGGTACACACGAGGTCCAAGAGGGCACACATAAGAGCGGGGCCACCGGCCTTAACCATCTCAGGTAATATGTCAGAGCCGCCAGCTGCCTTCCCATTGCTCATGGCTGACACCGCACGCTGAAGCTCAGCAAGGTTCGGTGGTTCGCCAAGCTCCTTGACAATGTCCTGCTGTTCCACCTGATCGATAACACCGGAGTCGAATGTGCTGGGGATGTTGTAGACCTTGGTAAAGTGGCGCGACCTTCGCTGTCCCTGCTCCGCCGGAGAAGTACAGATGTTGCCATTCTCATCTAGGATTGCCATATTTGAGATTGGCTTGAGGCCAGATCGGGCATCTTGTAAGGACCGTATTCCGGCCCACACGCGTGCGGAATTAAACCGACCACTCTCAACCCTGCACGCAACTGTGGCGAACCACTGGTTCTTAGCCGTGCGCACTGCCTGCCTAGCCTGTCGTCGTGCCGTGCGCAGCTTCTGGTAGTCATCGCTCCGACGGCCATTCGTTATCCAAGATCGATGCCAGGCATTACGTTCCACCAGTAGCGGCTTCAAAGTATCCCTGCTATCAGCAAACCAGCAGTCGGCAACCCTGGCGGCCCAAGGCAGACTGTGCGGCATCTGTCATAGCACCACGGATGTTGTTCCATTTTTCATCAACAGTGGAGCAGGGGTCGGCGGCGCCCCTGAGCCTGGCAGCGATACTGTCTTGATACTCGTCAACTATACGGCGGACTTGACCATTGTCATCAGTGGATACAATATCCGGTAAGCGGCACATTGCAAAACGAGCCCTCTTGGACTGTGTGGCCGGTTTCCGCCACCTGACACGACCCATCCGGAAGCGCATTGCGAGTAGACTGTGATCACTGCCACACTCAGCCGATGGGATAATCTGTGAATCCGTACACCAGTGACGGTCCCTCTGAGCAACTATGATGTAGTCGATGCAGTGCACATGGCGACTCCTAGGGTGCATCCACGTACCCTTCAACTCTGCTTTCTTACAGAACCAAGTGTTACATATCCAGCCCTCATGCATGGCCAAGAAACTGAGGAGGTGCTTGTTTCGGGGTAAACAAGTTAATTGTTTACGATAGGATTATATTCTCACTTGGCCATTGTAGGCAAATCATAAGAACCCCGACATCTAAAGAATCCTGCATGAAAGTAGGCAGCTGCGAGATGCGTATCTCGCGCATGCTCTTGCATGGCTAAGTAATGCATTACATCATAATACAACATCCCCTTCGTCATAAAGGAGTTTAACAACCTACATAACATACCGTACGTATATGACGGCGTGTTCACAATATAGAACATAACATCCAACAATAGCTCTATGTACAAGGTAACAATCATGAATGGCACACGACGGCGTGCTAACAATACAGAGACATAGTATCCAACAATAGCTCTATGTACAATATAACAATGGCACCTCAGCTACTGTGACATAAGCGAACAGGTCCATGAGGCCTCTCTGGCCCTACACATCCAGGATTGACCTGGGTGCGACTGCGCGGCCAGACCGTGTTCGATACAGCTGGGTGGCAGGTTCAGCAGGCTGGCTGACGTCACACGGTGACGGCGGCTGAGACTGGCTAACGTCGGTCCACGGCGATGGCACGTCACTCGGCGGCTGAGGGCCTGCGAGACTGGCATCCGGCGGGAAGTGGACCCGCCTCTCTCTGAGGTGGGTACGGTTGCGCCGCACTTCTGTCCCATGGTCAGGCTGCACCATGTATGACCGTGGCCCGTTGACAGACTGGGTTACGATACCAGGTTCCCACAGGTGCGTGGTCGGGCTGCGGAGGCCGACGTGCTGACCAGGAACTAGGGGGCGGAGGTACTGCGCTCGCTGGTCATGGTGTACTTTCTGGTGGTCCTGCCGTTCCTCGAGCTTCTGTTGGATGGCCTCGTCCCGAGTGTCGCGCTGGTGTTTGCGAGGCAGGTTGTCCTGTACCTGACGACCGAACAGCATCTCGGCCGGCGACGGTAAGCCCTGGTACACTGGGGTGGCGCGAATGCACAGCAGTGCTAAGTGCGGGTCGGTCCCGCTCTCCCTTGCCTTCTCGAGAGCTCTCTTAGCGATCTTGACTTGCGATTCCATAAACCCGTTACTCTGCGGGTGATGTGGCGACGACGTACTGTGGCGGAATCCATATTCGGCAGCAAACTCCGCGAACAGATAGCTGCTGTATTGCGGCCCGTTGTCCGACTTCAGCACGGCTGGGATGCCGTGCTCACCGAAAATCTCCTTGAGGTGCTGGATGATGGCCCTGCTGGTCGCTTGTCCGGCAGGCAGCTTCCGGGTGATAAAGTACTTAGAGTAGTAGTCGGCGGCAATGAG